ATAACATTATAATCTTATTATTTATATGCATGTAAGTATACACATTTATTTAATCGCTGACTCCCAACACATCAGATGTAACCTGTCTAAGCCACTGTAATAGGTGATCAACTATTGATCACGCGAATCAATTACTTCTCAAGGCACTACAATTATTGAATAGAGACGAGGACAAATAATTTAAAAGATACCATTATTCTGCCTCCTAAATTGGGGAACTCCGATTAAAAGTACAAATTGGTTGGGTCGAAGTTTTAATAAATCCTTTCTCTGAGTTAAGCTAAGGAGGTTCATTAACCCTACGGAAAATGCCTCGCTCTTTGATTTGAACGTACCCATTTGATTTAAACGTGCCACTACGTTTTCTGGACGATAGCGATATCTCAGCGGCCTCATTTCGCAACGAGACCCAGAAGGCGTAGGAGTCCGAAGCTTCCACCTCGGGACATAACGGTTAACAATGGAGAACATGAGCTGTCCACTTTTAGCACACTCCCACGGAATTTCCGTCTCGCTGTTCCAGAAGTCAGAAGAATTAACTTTTATCATCATAGAAATTTTCAACTCATTGGTCTATATTATTAATAATCAAACAAGCTTCATAATTGTGAACCAGTAATTGGCTGAGACCCTTACTTCGGGTGCAGGAATAATTCGTGCACGCCGAGATGGAGCAGCATAAGCATAATGAAATCAAGTCCCGCGTCAAGGAGACTCGCACACAAATCCGTCATCATGGGCGACCTGAGGCACACAAATGAAAATAATGTGATGGCGCTCGGAGCATGTGGCCAAAACACGAATGTGAAGAGAATCAGATGTTTATATATGCATCAGCTATGAAACTACCTCGCATCGAATGATTTATTGCAATGCAGACACTTTCATCTAAACGAACCCACCAGAACCAGCACTGCCCCTCTTCACAGCAGTTCCTGGTCAGCTCTGATAACAGAATTCGATACGGTGACTCCGGCGAGTGCGCAATGGCTTGGATATCAACGTCAGTTTGAAGACTTCGGTAAGTTCTGTCAAGACTTCGGTAAATTTTGACAAGGCACGGACTAGATAAGAATGTTACCGCAGATGACACTGTCAGCCGGAAGCCTGGAAAGTGTTAATACGCACGTGTCTCTAGAGTTCTTGAGAGCATATAAGTACTCATATTATCAATCAGTTAAAATAGCAAGTTCACCAGGAGTAATTGCAAAGTAAATTCACCAAATATTCATGAAAACATTTCGCAGACCAGCTTCATCAGCAGATCAAATAAATAAATCTTTAGAGAATACAAGTAAAATCAGCTGTAAAAAATTCACATATCCACGAAAAAACCTAAGTTACGAGAAAACGGCAAAAAAACTTATCGAGTTACAATATCAAGAAAATAAGAACTAGCAGCGTTATCAATACAAGGTTTCCGTTTAAAAATATACAGTTATTCTAAAATCCTTTGATCGGGCACCATAAGTGGCATCGAGTATTTGAAATCGCTCTCAGATGCAGTCACGTTGCACTGTTCAGCATAAAAGCGCACAGTCAAGTGAGAAGGCATGAAAAATGACGTGTTCGAACGAAAGCTCATACCGCGATGCTCAGAAACACTTGTGTAGACGACGTCTACACGTATGCTAATGCGCAGAGCACATAACTTCATTAATAGACCAAGTTAGAAAGCATCTGGGCAGGAATAACGTCCTGCTATTTGAAGACGGAACCAATTTTGAAATAATTCACCAGCAAAACATGCAAATTAACATTCGTGAAATCTGAATGTTAATTTTTCTGCACCAAAAGCGCCTTGACTTAACAACGCGTACAGTTCCTATCTTCTTGAAAATGTAAATCGTTAGGTTTTTATGTTGCTTTGTCGAGGTCTCGACACTAAAGTTTTCATCTTTTTCGTGTATATTTGTATATTCACTGTTAATTCTGCAGGTATTATCTAAGTTTTTTAACTTCTAATGCTGGAGTCTCGAGCGTTTTGAAGATCTTATGGTGAATTGACTTGACGTTTCCTTTGCTTTAAATTCTTCTCGAGAATAATGTTGACAACATATATTTCTTGGATCTTGTTTTTATCATCTGATGATATTCATTATTTATTCTCTGCCAAAAGACCGTATACGACAGATAATTGAAGCAGTGAAAGTCAAGCCCATGCTCCCTCCCAAATACAACACTCACCTTTCTGTTTCATCAGTGGCAGGAGCTTCAAGACGAGAGGAACCGAACATAAAGTCGTCTCGTACAGCACAAGGTTGAGGACGTTAAGATCTATTTGCGGGTCCTCACTGCCCAGTATGTTTAAATATTAGGAAAATACATACATAACAAATAGCACAGCGAAATTTCTAGAATATGTAACTATTTTTCAATAGGGTGTCTTCCCGAAAGGCAAGATCTCACGTAATATTAGAATCCTTACAGAAGTATCATTCTAATCATAAGATTTACGATATTTCAAACGATTCAGGTGATCATCGGACGAGAAGGGCTTGAGTATGTAGTCTGGCGAAGATTGTCAACAAGTTCTTTTGGTTTCTAAAAAAGCTCTTCTTTCTGTTGTTTTTTCCTTAATAGTACAATCGAAAGGTAATAATAAAACTTTCTACGTGTGAGCAGCTGGCCGTTGGCCCGAAATTAAAATCTTAAACTAGCCTTGGAGCCAACGCTCAGCCTAAACATGCACAGCTAAACTCAACCTCAAAGCTACGAAGTCAACGACAACGCAAAAAACGCATTTCCCCCATTTCTGAAACTGCTCGAGGTCATGGCGCCGTAAGTCCACAGCCACTTCTTCAGTCATGTATGTAGTCTTCATGGAAGCTACATCCCAACAAGGCACTACCAGCAAACTTACCCCAAATCTCCACCTTTTTGCAGCCAATGATTTTATGCTAGGTCCAGTTACGTTCGTTTTGGATGGAGACTGAAGAGTCGGGGTAAGTGGAGGTAGGAGCATGCTGGGGTGTAGCATCTATGAAGAATGTACAGGCTAGAGCAGTGGCTGCGGACTTGCGGCGTCTATGGCTCTAGGCACTTAACTTCACGGGAAGGTGACGGGGGTATTGGGCACGAATGGCCACTAACATGCATCTGCTTTCCATAACTATCTCCTACAAGTCGATGCATCTAATTAATACAACACCCATTAAAAATTTTGCTTGAAAACTTTATTTAAATGCCTAAATAATGCGTCATAACGTAACCATTAGAAGCGTACTTGTGATCAGTCTTTTCATCAATAATAACTATAGCCGAATTTTAATCTTATTGGTCGATCAGTAAAATATACTGACTCTTCAATGCACCAGTATCCAAAATAATTACTGGAACCTGTCCTCAAAATATTCTAAACATTTAAAAGCGAAGAAAACTCCACATAAATTCCCCGTATCTCTATTGAAAAAGTTTCGGAGTCCAGCTCCATCTTCAGTTCGAAAACACAGACGCAATCAGAAGTTAATACAGTCGAAATTCATCAGTACACAGAAGCTAAACCTAAATTTACATACAAAAGACATAGTAAGAGAGTACAGAGAAAAAAAACAGACAAAACCTATCTATTTATAATTTCTTGTGGATAAGAGCTAAAGGCTGCATTTAAAATAGGCCTCTCTTTGAAAATATACAATGATTTGAAAATAGGCATATCGGAAGCACCAAAACTGGAAGCTACAACTTTAAAGTTATTGTCGGATACAGGAACGTTGCGCTGTTTGGCGTGAGTACGCACAGTCGAATGAGAAGGGAGCGAAAGTAATTGCCCAGTCCTTCAATTCCTCCTTTTATGCTCTGCGGCCCAATAGATCGCGCGGCGTCATTCCAACGCACTCGGCTGCACATCGTGCACAACTATATTTACATCGCATATGACAAGGGATGATATCTTTGTACCTATAGAAGAGTCATGTGTAACTGTAAGAGTCACGTGCAACTGTATGAGTCGTGTGTAACTGTATGAGTCACGTGCAACAGTATGAGTCATGTGTAAAAGAACCTATTTTAGAATTGTCCACCAATAATTTCGACTATATTAATTTCTGACTGTATCTGTGTCCTAGATTTTTCGAACTGACGATGGAGGTGGACTTAAACGTTTTCAATGGAGATATGATGAATTTGGGCGATATTTTCTTCACTTGTAAATATATAGTGAATTTGTGACTGACGCAATCTAGTAACGTAAAAATATTCTATGCAGTAACTAGTCGGAGATAAACAGGTAGTCTGGTAATGGTTGCTTGATAGAGCCAGTAAGTCACTGTCTTACAGTGTGCCGTACGCTGGTGACGGTTGCTTATAAAATGATTCAGCTTGCTCGCTTAACACATTGACTACAACGTACGTCATATGTTTTTCGCTTTAAAATGGAACTCTTTAGAAAGTCCTGTAAAACATTAAACCAGATCATCAACTTGTGAAGGATTTGATAGGGTTTTGACAGGAAGCTTTTTAAAAAAATATACCAATGCCTGATAACTAAATCCACCAATCAACAAATGCGCGATTTGGTCATAGAAGCATTTTTTCGCGTGTTTATCTTATTCAGTGGTAATACATATATTCATTTTCAGCGAATGCAGTCACATACACGGATTTTTGTTGACTATAGAACTGATCGTATAGCTCCCTGCATTCACAACAGCAGATTTTATCAACAGCTTGAACAGTTGTCGGTACTACTTCATGGGCCTTCTTGGTGCAATATTGTATGGCATCTGTTATGATTTATAACATTATTATTTATCAGCATTATATTCCAGAAATATTTGCAGCTTGCATTATTTATTACACTCACAAGCATTATTTGCTACACTCACCGAGACAAGAACGGCGTACACTCACCGAGACAAGAACGGAGTACACTCACCGAGACAAGAACGGAGTACACTCACCGAGACAAGAACGGCGTACACTCACCGAGACAAGAAAGGCGTACACTCACCGAGACAAGAACAGCGCACCATCTTCCGTCTCGCTGTCATGTCTTTAACTAAAATTATTCAAGTTTGAACGAACGGCATCCTAGCTAAACATTATAACTTGGGAGTCGTTATCCCTTATTTAAGTTTTCCTCTTGTCGTTATACCCTTGTTCAAGTTATCTAAATAAAATATAGACATTCAATAAATTTAAATACTGAATTGTATTATTTGAATCTCTTGTTATAGTTGGATCTTGTTTCCAATTAATTTCCCTTTTTTGCGTACTTTACCTAACCTACGAGGTGATCTATTGAGCAAATTTGTCAAGTGTTAATTCTAATAGTAAAGAATTGATAGCTAGAGATTCAATTAATAAATAATTGTAGATAATGCTATCATGCTAATGCCAGCAAATGAACTTGCTTACTTACTAATCACATTGTGCCACAGCCAGTATCATATTGCAAAAGGTTATTTTGAGTCGTTCCTTGCTTAGCTCCCACTTCTCGATGGGTAGACCATTGTGCTCGGCTAGTCTAATAATATGTTCTAGAATGATCCAGATTTGTTCGACATTGACGTCGCACGAACCGCAACACACTTCTCCGTCGTCAAACATCGGGCAGGACCTAAAAGGGGCAAGATATATCTAACTATCCTTCCAGCTTGTACCTGCTTCAACAATCTAGGACGAAGTAAAAGAAAAATAACTAACTTCAAAATTATTCCACTTAAAATCGACAATAATAGTCAGAAAGATATTTGACCGTGATAAATTTCACCATTAATTTTAGTATTGAATAATTAAGCGTAGCTTTTACAGGAACTGACGTGGCGCATGTCAGGAACAGGTCTATCAGCTGATCGTTCTTGTTATGATGCCGATCGTTACTCATGAAGATCTTCTTCATCATGACAGTTATATACCTGAAGAGAAAAATATTTTCATTTGAACACATAAATTAATCAATGATGAAGCGGATAAGAAGTTAAATCCTTTCCAGACAACAACCACAGGATCAGTAATGCTTCAAGAATATTTTGCCTGTAATCAATTTCTATTAGGTACCTGATAACAATTTTAGATTTTTCACTCAAATATCAGTATTTGTAGAAATTTACAGCGCGATTGAGTCATTCATTGTGTCACTTCAACTATCAAAGAGATACCATTACTTAAAAGAAACGAACGTCTTTGAATTACTTCTAAATGCAGGATTTGTTAGCAGAATTAATTGTAGAAAAATTGCCTTTATGCAAACTCAGAGAAAGAAACTTTGCAATAAGTAGAAGCAGGATCTATTTAACAACGCTTACTTGTTCTTATCTGCCCAGTTGATTCCATTATTAGGTTTAAATATATCCTCGATTAAGTGCTCAAGTTGATGCATGTCAAACGCGCAATGATCCAGAATGTACATAGCGCTCTCGTGGTACGACACCGAGACAGCATCAATCAGAACATCCAGCCAAAACCTATACCAGAAATAGAACCGGTTATGGAAAATTGAATCAAACATTGCATTTGAATAATAATGAATTCATTTCATTCGGAATATGGACGTATTTCTCGCTTATCAAAATACTTATGGTTTTGCACAAATCAACATATTTGCATAAGCTGGTTTTCTTAGATATTTTGCATCTATACTAGGGTATTTACTGATAATTCCCAGGGTTAGACAATCCGCTGTTCGGCAATATAGTCTTCAATTGGGCGTCTGTTAGACTTCTATTAGTTATCCAACCATTGAGATGAGGACAGTCACATCCTCGACTCAAAAGGTTACTCAGTATTTCGAAATTATACTGAAAATACAAAAATATTTCAAATAAAATAATTAAGCTCAATTAAGCTCACAACAAAGTTGACATTTTTTCCTTAGCATCTGAATTAAAATGATAGATACAAGTCTGAGACAAAACGATTTTAAGGAGATCCAGACATTGAAAGAAATATAGGCAATTAATTGAAAATTTTATATAGATGTAATGACCGTTGAGTTCTGTGAAAAGTCAAACGCAAAAGGGGAAGCAAGTAGCAGCTTCACATTACAAAATCTACAACACACAATGAAACATTATTCATACTCATAAAGGGATGCACTAAAATGTTGGTAATAATCGTGGACAGTTCATTGTACAGCTGTAAATTGGGACGTATATATTTCACTGAATAAGAAGCTGTGGGCACCCGGGCAAAGTATGTGGCTGGAAGCTCATCGTGCTCAAAATCCGTGGCTGTGGCGTCCGCCCCTGCGTCCAGCATTAGCTCAGCTCCTCGCCACCAGCGTCTCTCCAAGGCTGCAATATAGGCATCTAATAATGTGCATCACTGTCCAATTGGCATCTCTGTCGAGCGCAAAGTTCTGCTCTAATTCTTACTTGTCCTAAAAAAATTGGCCCAAGCCAAGCATAACTGAATAATTTTGTAAAAAAGTTTTAAGCGCTGTTCAAGCAATAGAAATAAGTTGCGTCTCCAAGATGCGACTCATCTACCTAATTTTGTTCTTATTAATCTGACCATTAGACAGATTTTATCACGGCTCTCACCGTGCTAAAATCATCAAGAATTGCGTATATAGATTGCATATAATATATAGATAAAAACTCCTTAAATGCATTTCTAACTAAAGCTGGAGCCATTATTGAGGTGACATACCGCACAATAAGGGCAGGGAAAATGGATCTTTTTCAGGAAGGTCGGGATTTGCTCCAGCATGTAGAAGGCTCGCCAATATTTCTTCCTGAACAAATAAAAACGTAGTGAAGTGAACTCAAGATGGAGTATCAAACAGAACGATAAGACACAACTGCTCTAGTACAGAAAAATAGAATTCATCAACTTAGGAGCAAAATTAGGAGTCAACAAAAATAAGCTGTTTTAGACAAAGTTTTGGACATCATAGGGATGCTGCAGTGACCTGACTAGTACCCTAAAGTGTGAATATTTTTAAATTGACTGAACTATAATATAAAGTTATTATAAAAATTCAGTAAATCTATACTTCTTATAATCACGGTCACGCTCATGAAAATCATCTTCAGAGTTTGGTCTGTTTCATGTTTAGTCGTAGGCAGGCTAAATAAAAAGCATATGAAACATTCCAAGACCCATCCTAGTCACCTCCAGGTCTGAGGCTAAGCAGTTTCTACAGAGAAGCAGCAGAGCAGTGGAGCGATCATGACTCTCCATGTTTATGCACCTTTTATCTGCAATGAACATTAAACGATAATGACTAACAACAAAATAAAAAAATTATTCATCAATATCATCAGAATTCAATGAGCAGTAAATATAAGATATAAAATTTCTAAGAATCGCTTAACCAAGAATGAATGGAACAGTAACAGAACTAATTCCACCTCTACAGGGGGTAGTTTTATCCTGTTAATATTTAATGCATTGGTTGATACCACAACATGTACATAAATCTACAAGCCAAGAAGGACATTGAAAGGAAGTGCAAGGAACTCCCAACAACTGCAAACAACTTGACCTCCTCATCTGTAACTTGCACTCGGTTGAGAAAGCACTAAGCCACTACTAAGAGCTCAGTGGTGCCATGGTCAGGAACAATGTTAATAGAATGAAAACCCTCATGGGCATTCCAAGGCACTAAAGTATGCTGAAGAATATTGTTCGAAAGGTTTTGAACAGAAGTAGAATCTCTGAAGAACAGCTGCAAAATAACAAAAAACAGGCAAATAGTAATGCAAGTCCCAATTAGAAGGAAAAATTTAAATTGACAAGATGAATTTTTAGTAAATTGGACTTGAAATAATTAACTTGGAAATTCTTCTCTAAAAGAGTATATCACAGATAATTACATTTTTTAATTCATAATGAAAAATCCAAAATGTGATACCAGCAGCTTTAATACCTATTACTGGAAAATAAATCATGAGTGAAGCAGAATTTTTTCAATTTGATCTAAAGTAGTTACAGGCGGCATGAGCAATTTCCAAGAAAGAGTATAACATCATTAACCACCATCTACAGAGAATTAAGGTAAGCAGCTAACTGTTGAATCTTGAACTGTTCAGCAGGATCACCCAAACCTCAGTTCACAATTCCGGTTTTCTCAACAAGATAAAATTCTTCTGCTTGATCTGACTCCAAAAGATCTTGATATAATAGTCAGTCATCAAGGATACAAAACTAATTTACCCTAATTATTTTCTTTATTTCACTCAAATTTTCAAACTTCCCAAAAGTTGACCATTGACTTCATTAGTGTTGCTTGCAACAGTAAATTTTGCCACTCTGAAAATCAATTTGGACACGAAATAAGAGCTACAGATGGTAAACTAGCTATGAAAACATGTTACATTAAAAAATTTAGAGCTCACAAGTATATATTGTACTACCAAAATGTCCAACATAAATTAGGTTCTACAAAATAAAATTTTGCAAAGAAATGAAATCTTACATGTACAATAGGCTGTATATTTTCTTATAGGAATAAGAATTTAAACCAAACCATTGGTCATCCTATAATTGACAAAAAAATAAGAGTTTACTTCATGAAGCAATAAAATAACCCCAAGACATCATCAATGAATTACCCACAAGCTCAAGTACTCAATGCCATCAAGTACTAGGCATGCCATCAGAGGCAGCGTTTTGTACAGGCTGGATCAAACTTCCATTTTCTACTTAGGCTTCAGAATTGTGTGAGACTTCAAGTTCACCCTCAACTATTTTCAGTTCAATTTTTACACATATAATAATGAATAGATGAATTAAAACTCAATTACCTGCATACATGAGAAGTTTCTTCACCATTGCAAGATCCTTGTACAAAACAGCATGATGAAGAGCAGAGTAGCCCTGTTGATCAGGTGTGCAGAGGCTGTGAGTGATGTCAAGCCCATGACTCAACAGTGAGGCTATGACTTTCTGCAACAAAAAATTATGGGTATTGTCATAAGCTATAATATCGGTAGCTGATTTTGCATTCAATCCATGCATTATTAATCCAATTTTACAAAGCTTAATGTATTTATCTGTTCAAAATGGTCTCAAAACATGTATCAGTTCCTGGTAAGCTCGCACATATGCAAGACTGTAGCCAACTTTCTAATGACTAAACTAGTATCACTGAATATAATCTGAAGTTATATACAGGAAGGAATGAAAGAGGGAAAACACCAACATTTTTCAAAACAAAATGAAAATCCAAGTTGATACAAAAAATTGGTTATTAGCAGACCTGTTGTCTGAATCAGACACACTTGTTAGTCTGAATCACACCATAGCTAGAGCACCAATGATCAAATATACCTCATACAAGGTTGCATATTTACCTCTAAGCTTGGTGAAGCCCAGTAGCACAAAGTCTATGAGTTATGGAAAAACAGGTTATTCAAACCATCCCACACTGAATATTGATAATGTCTAGGCACTCTCTAGTAGCAAACACAAGTATAGTCACAACAATCAAGATGGATGTTTAGGCTTCCTACATAAACTTCATGACAGAAACAAGAATGGATGACCAAGGTTAACAGTGAGAGATCTTAAATATTAGTTGTAAAGGTATATAATATATTAGTAACTTTTGAAGAATTGTACTTTATTACGGGAATTTATTGAAAAGCCACTGATTTTATTTTTAAAAACTTGTGCAAAAATTGGTAATATAGTTATTTGTACTTTTTTCACATATTTCATTTATACCTAGCTTCAAAGTCCTTTTCATTTCTGTTGATTATTAAAATTTTATGCTGGAAAGTATCAACCTCTATCATAACATTTGCCTAGACTTTTAATTAAATAATTGTCCATCCTTCAAACAGTAAAGTAGTGATGCATCATTAACATGACGTAACACTATTTAAAACAGTGCATATCTCTGTCAGAGACTACAAATCAATGGTGAAAATATGTATTGAATCAATTAACCCAGTGCAAGTTCTTAGCTGTTGTCTTGTTTCTCAAAACTCAGGTAGTACAAGGCTCTTCAATAAACAATTTTCAGTTTTTTCCTCAAAACACTAAGAGTTGAACTTTACACTTCTTAACCTTGAGACTTCCAGTATTGTAAATGCTCAAAAATTAACAGGATTGTTTGCTAGCTGTTTCTACCTGTTTTAGAGCTTGTTTAATGGAGTTGGATAGCACAAAAAATATCAAACATTAAGTTATAGATATATAGGTAGTCATACATACTTTTTTAAATAATGTTTTTTTTCTATTTCACATTGAAAAACTACAGTTTATAAATTAAATTAATACAATGTTGAAATTGATATTGAACCAACAGTTGAGGTAGGACTGACATGGAATAGTTGAAAAAAGTCCTTCTAAAGTATATTTCCCTAGCCAAGATCTAAACAAAATTTGTTATTGTTATTTGTTAGAACTTCAATAAATGTGGGCTTTTTTAGGGGCTTGCACTATACTTATATCTGTTGACTGTATTTAATAATTAAAAAAGCCTTATAGATATATCTCTGTTAGCTTATAGCCAGTATTATTGCACTCTGAAGTTTCAAATTAAAAAGTCAATTTGATGCATTTTCAAGTTGTCTTTTAAAAGCACTGTTTTCTCCATGGCTTTATTAAAAAATATAACTCAGTACCCACTGCAGTGAGTGACAGAGTGCATTTTTCCGTCAACGAAAATGAAGTCACGGACGGACAGACAGACGGACGGACATGATGAGCACAATAGGCATTTTTTCCATATATGAGAAAATGCCCTAAAAAAAGGTTTTTGGGTTGAAAATCCTGCCCAGGTGGGTAGGTGGGCAGCTACCCAGTGCAAGCCTGTTTGTAAATGTCTTGACATGATGGGTATTGTAGATACATGCTTGTGTAATCCCTATACAATTCAGCAGAAAGTTTCTAACACACAAACTCATAAACATCTATACAGTAGACTGGCGTGGAGGTCTTTTCTACTATATCTGGAGGTCTTTAGCATAAATCAGTATCAGGTGTAACCTGTCATGTCTAATTATCCACTATACTGTCTTAGCCAGACCAAAGGTTAGACACTTGGTCCTGGTTAACATGCTATGACAAGTTGAACAGACATGTCTAATTACATAACTTCAACCTGCTTTTGTTAAGGCTGTGCAAAGGGCAAATTTATACCTCATTGTTCTCACAGATAAATTTCTTTAATGATGATAACAAGGTATAAATATAAATGTACAAAATTATTTATTTCAGCTAGTAAGTATGAAACTATAATTCATCATTCATAAAAAAAAATAGAGAAAGGTGCAGCACCGTCAAACAGGGCAATGAGGGACGGATGGGGGTAAATCAGGACAGGCATCCCACATTTCAACAAGTGTTGTGGCAGCTAAACTAGTGAAAATATTACAAAACTAAAAATAGTTTACAACATTTTTACTACCGTATCTATCTAGCATAAGGTTAGTTAAGAAATCATATATTTATTACCTCTAAAAAATACCTGAAAAAGTGTCAAAAGTGAGATATTGGAAAAGTACTTCTTCTAAGGTCTGTAGCTAAAAAATATTTGCCATATTGAAAAATTTTACTTACATAAAATTTGGACACAGGTGTTGGCTTAAAAACAAGATTGACAGAATTTGCGTACGGTATCTCATTAAAAAAATGGCAGCCATTATCCCTGGATGGGGTAATAAGGGACACCCCTTAAAACACATTTACAGTAGAACATTGATTAGCAAAGGCTCCAGTTAACAAAAAAATCAATTAACAACAAAAAATTTTGAATACATTTACCTCACTCAGCAAAAAAATTTCACTTAAAAAATTAATGCATCATCAGTCATCACAAACTTGTGCATAGAATGTCATGGCCAGGTAACATAGAATGAGAAGTAATTAAGCTAACTTTGATTTATTTCTTCAAAAAATATGATGGTTGTTACTAAAGCATTCCTTTCTGTTTCAGGTAGGTATGTTTTTATGATCTTTTTTGTTATAGTGGATTCACTTGACCCAATTAAAATGGTGTGAAATTACAAGCCATTTTGTTAGCTTACAGATACAGAAGAAATACTACATGGCTGCTGATATGAAGCTTGCAGTGGACAAAGTCGTTGTAAAAGCTCAATGGCATGTTCATGGATATGGTAATATCACATCAATAATACGGTAATTAATGAATATGGTAATATCATATCAATAAAGGAAAAACAAGTAAAAATCACAGAAAATGTCATTAATTCTACATCTACGTCATCTACAAAGGAAGAGAAGACTTTAGAGTACTGTTAGCAATGGATGAGTTGTACACTCTGCATGCTTCAAACATTTTAAAATTAGGTTTTTTTCAAGTGTCCCAGATTACCCTGTTCTCAGGGGTAATTTGGGATGCTTTCATTTTGCATCTTGCACCTTACAAATAGCATATGAAATTTTTTCAAAGATGCCATACAATAGCCCTAGCAGAGCTTTAAAATGAGCCCAAATTTCTTTATGAAATGTTTCATGGTAAGAAGTTATTGACAAAAAATGCTCAAAAGCATCCCTTATTACCCCATTTGATGGTATGTACTGATTGTAGTTAGGTACTCTCTTCCTGTACTTGATACATGATAAAAATCAAAATAATAGCAATAGTAAAGGCTAACAAAGTATTTAGATTTTTTCTCATACAATCAGAGAATTTCTTGAAATAGAATTAAAATTATTTAAAGTAAAACTCATAATTATAGTTCAATTTTATGTATAGGCAGGTTTCACACTTTTCCTAGAATCATGAACTGGAGGTTCCAAGACTCTCAGCAAGGCAAGCCCTCAAATCTGTTTACTTGAAGAGACTTGCATACAAACAAGGTGGATAGCAGAGTCATAAATTACACTTCTCAATAGAAGGCAATCTGTGATCAATCTGGCAAATAGCAAACGATTGATATGTACAACAATGCTATGAAATTGATGTGGAAAATGGATACCAAAACAATGGAAAATGTGAAATTTAATGGAACTTGTATATTAACATCGAACATTGGAGATTGTTAGCAAATAGCTTACCAAATAGAGCAGGATTTAACACATGCATCACCCACATGGATATGTATCAACTACACTATTAGTCATCTGTCTGAAAAAAGTAGTATGTACTGTCGAACGAGGTAAAAAGGGACGGGCGGGATAAATCGGGACGAGCGTCCCACATTTTGTAGAAATGTTGTAGCAGCTAAACTAATCAAAATATTGCAAAACTAAAAATAGTGGCATAAACTTCAACATTTTTACTATCTATTATGTATAAAGTTAGTCAAGAAATCAAACATTTACTATCTCTAAAAAATTGCTGAAAACAAGTGTGAAAAGTGCGATTTTGGAAAAGTACCTTTGCTAAGGTCTGGAGCAAAAAAATATTCACCGTATTAAAAAATTTTACTTATATAAAAGTTGCACCCAGGTGTCGGCTTGAAAACATAATTGAAGGAATTTGCCTATCTCATTAAAAAAAATGGCAGCCATTTCCGCACGGTGGGGCTGCCCGGGACACCCCCCACCCCCGGGGTAATTAGGGACACCCTTAAAATGCATTTACAGTAGAACCTCAGTTACCAAAGGTTCCAGTTAACAAAAAAAATTTATTAACAACAAAGAATTTTAATTACATTTACCTCCCTCAGCAAAAAAAATTCATATAAAAAATTAGTGCATCATCAGTCGTCACAAAATTGTACATAGAATGCTATATATAGAATTGTGCACCGGGCATCATAGAATGAAAAGTAATTGACTTAAACTATGATTTATTTCTCCAAAACATATGATGGTTGTCACTAAAACATTATTTTCTGTATCAGGTATGTTTTTCACGATCTTTTTTGTTATAGTGAAATCACTTGACTCAATTAAAATTGTGCGAAATTACAAACCATCCTGTAAGCTTACAGATACAGAAGAAATGCTACATCAGCTGCTGATATGAA